CGACCCGTGACAGGTGGAGTGGCCACGGGGAACCCTTTGTTTTTTTATACGGAGTGAGAGACTGCTCGGTCGTCGTCGAGACAACACCATAGCACCGTTTAGAGGAGGCTGGCGCCACGAAGCGCATAACGATACTCGAATTTAAATATTCACTCCCTGGCCGGCGTTGAAAATATATTGCCGACAGTTTGTTACCTCGTGCCTCTACGGCTTGTCGAGAGACATAAAACGATCTTTTCTTTGACCAAAGCGAATTTGCGTGCAAGGGTTTTTTTGTTAGCCGCTGGTGTTTGGACAATTAGCATGTTGGACGAAGTTTTGGAAAAGGGGCGATTGTGTCTTGAATGTTTTCGCCAAATAGCCTGGCCGTCAATGGCCTTATTCTTCCCCGTGTTTATTGTGTATTGTGCCACGCTGAAGCCTTTCATATTTTATCGAAGATAATTTGATGACAACCACTATTGACTCGTGATATATGGAAGATATACACGCAGATTCTTTAACGTTGCTTTATTTCTCACTTTTTAATTTATTACTCGATATTAATAATACAACCAAGAATTATATATCGTTGGATAATTTTTTCATTGACAGAATTGTCGAAAATTATTATGAAAATAATATTCGAAACGTGCCATTTATAAATTACTCCTTCAAAATATAATTTCACTATATAAAATCATTTCATTTCGTTATTAAAATTAACGATAAGGAAACTAACTTTATCCTGTACTTACTGGAGAAAAAAAGAAACATTTGTACCCCTATCACACGAAGAATACAAACCATTCCTTCCCTCCAAAAAAAAATCTCTCGCACGCCTTAAAATTTCAAATAAAATAAAAACGATCGAGCATACATCTTTCGAAAGAATTACGACAATTTCCCCGAAACGGTGGCCATCAGAAAATTCACCTAAATTCCCAACTGACGGATGCTTTCCAGGATAATCCGCTGCGTGCTAAGCTACATCAAGTATAGATATATTTTACCCAGCCTCGGAGATCTATCACTCGAAACCGTGGATCCGCTTGCAACGCGTCTGCGAGTGATGCACGACAATCCCCCAGATAAATTGTGCCGGGCCCCAACGAGTGTCACCGCGTTATCGTGCCCCTCCCCCTAATGCCGGCCCCCGCGGTGCAAATCGTTCTGGTAGCCCGATACATTTACATATTATGCGTGCACGGTAGCTGTGGTTCCTTTCAATGAATCGCGTACTGACTGTTAATGCCGATGAAACGTAGGGAGGATAGTTTTCAAATTGCCCTTGCGCGAATCCAAGTTTGGAAACGGAAAGAATTCTTCTGAAAACGAAAACAAGCTAAATTTATATTTGCTGTTTACTCTTGCGATTTCGTAATAGCAATAATGAAATATTATATGTATGAGAATATATAAAAATATGCAGCGAATAAATATAAATTATATTCGTGAATTTGTGCAACAAATGGATTAAGAAAAGCTATGTAGAAATATATGAAATAATACTTGAAAGTGTAAATTATTAATCGTGTAAAGAAAGATTAGAATAGAAATTGTTGGAAGAAATTGGTTCGTTTAAATAATTGTGAATAAATAAATCGAATGAAATTTTTATTATAATTTCGAAATGGCGATTAATTAATCGAGGTATCCTCGAATTTAAAATTTTCTCAATCGCTATGCGGATAGTATTTCGAAAGAAATACTGAAACGATAAAATATATCGTACCTTCGGCTTCTTCATTTCTATTCTTGTCAACAACATGTTCGAACTCCTTCCATCTGTTATTATGCCATGGATGTAAATCGTTGAACCGATAAATTTTCTATTGAAATGCATTCGACCTGGATAAACCTTGTCTGTAATAAACTCACGACAAAATGAAGATCTCACTGGGTAAGAGCGTGAAACACGAATCGATATCGCGTGAGGGGATGATTCACGCCGATTCGACGTCCAACGAGATCCGGATACACCGGCGGAGGCGATTTCGTTATATAAGCGACCGAGAGAATATCGTGGTTCTTGCAATTAGGCTAACCAATAGGGGACCACTCGGATCGCGTGCCAAGAGGCAACGATGCAATTCTTATTGCTACAATATAACAATTGCACCTTTGGGGAACGATCGTAGGACGCGTGTTGCAACTAGCTTGATACGTGCATCCGTTACTTGAACTTTGATTCGAAATGTTTAGCAAGGGATTCTTGCAACCGTCTCCTAGTTCTCAGGGATTAGTATTGCTCAATCGATTTTGTTCGATTTTTATATAAAGAAAGATCGAGTGTCCTGTTTAAATAGAATAGAATTTTATGTATCTACTGTAAATTTTTACAATTTTGAATAATATGAATAATATATTTACATTAACATAATTTAAGAAATTTAAATAAAAATGAATTCATTTCTGAAAAAAAGAAAAAAGAATTTACCTAATTCGATTTTCATAAATTTAAATTAAATCATTCTGTTTCTGGAAATACCTCAACGTGTCAACAACAACGAATTCCACAAAGTGGAACGAAGCCAACATCGTGCCACGAGAACACCATACTCACGATTACGAAACGGTTCGCACACGTTTCGCCACCGACCGAGCAACGAAACATCCATCCGAAGGGAGATGAACCTGCAAATGACTTTCACGCTTGCTCGAGACCATGAAACAAGATAAACGGGCTATATTTTTTTCTTCTTCTTTTTTTTTTTTCTATCATGTCGATCGCCGCATTACATGTATTCCCTTTACGAGTAAAAGCATGGCTCGCCACGAGTCATCGCCTCGAATCGAACCTCGGTTAAATCCGGGGAAGGGTGATGTTTGATCGAGCGGCGAAAGAAGGCGGAGAGGATCGTATCTTGCGTAGACGTCTCGCATCACCGGATGCGCGTGTGCCTCCCTCGCTTCCGGCC